AATTCACACGCTGTCAGTCAGACGATTTGTGAGTCAGGCGGCACGAAAATCACCAGCCTGCACAGGCGCTTGGGCCGCTGGGCAGAGCAATTTGTTTTTCAATTTAACTGCTCAGCACAGTTCACTGTGATACCGTTTCCCTCGGATGGTGCTTGGCTTATCGCCACAGATGCTTCTACCGAAACAGACATCCGACGCGCAATCTAATCTTTGAAGCATCATAAAGCTCCCTGTACTGACAGCCTACCCCCGGCTCAATTCAAAGATGGCGAGAATGCAGTTGTCAACGAAATGCTATCAATCTTCACGAGAATTTGAACTGACGAGAAAGTCCCAATTGCATGTGGAGAATCGGTCATTGTCCAGATTCACAAGAAAGGCTCCCGCGAGGATTGGGCCAATTACCGCGGAATTTCGTTGATCTCTGTTGTCTCCAAGATTTTCGGGTCTGTTCTACTCCGTAGGCTCTCAGCGACTAGAAAAGGCGTTTACCGAGAAGAACAAGCGGGCTTCTGTCCAGGTCGAGGTTGCATTGATCACATCTTCACACTTCGCCAACTTCTTGAACTCCATCACGTCTACCCACGCCAAACAATCGTCGTGTTCTTGGATATCCAAGCGGCATTTGACTCAATTGATAGATTTGCGTTGTGGAACTGTCTACCAGGGAAAAGTGTGCCCGGGTATGCCGTACAACCGTGTTATCTATTAGTTAACGTATCATCGAACTTAAAACTTTAAAACACACGAAAAATCCAAAAACGGCGTGTGTAAAACCGAAAAATCTTTTGCTACATGTATTTCATTTCCTCCCTTTATTTCGCCATGGTTCTGATGGCACATTATCTGTAATCAGACTTTGATTATATATATATATATATATATATATATATATATATATATATATATATATATATATATATAAGTGCCCCATGCCGAGGCTGACGTTGCATCCTTAATGCTTCTCCACTGCAGTTGGGCTAAACCAACTTACACTTAAACGGTTTGTTTGTTCTGCCTACCTGAATAATCTGCTATTAACTGGTCACGTTGCTTACTCTAATTGCGCTTATCTTCGTTAATTTTGTTGCGTTTGTAGCATTTTTAAGTAACTTGCAGACATTTCTGACTTATCGCGGATTCGTTACTAACCAACTTACTTCATATGGTAATTTAGCGAAGAGTTATGCCGCCGTATCTGTATGCATTATTCGATTTATTTTATTTCATCTTGTCGCTTCAAGTGATTGGCTGTTGCTTGATATTCCCGGTGTGGTTGCGCTTGATGTGCATGTTGACAAGGTGTCTACCTGTCTATTACCCACTACTTCGTTCATACTGGCTCCAGGAGACAGTTGGTCGTTGCTGCAGGAGACGGGGTGCACGGTCCTTGTGGCCGTGCTAGGATCGAAGAGCGGTTCCATGCACTCAGTGTGGAGCGCACTACGGTCCAGCCACCGCCTGGTGTGCGTTTGATTCCCAAATACAGCGTGCTTGTGTTTGTCTGTGAAGGAGTGTGGGCCGGCTCCGTTGATGAAACGTGGCTCCCATCCACATGCCTCCAGGTCTTATTCCTTCGGGTTTACACTGGATATGGGGTGTGTGGTTGGAGCTGTGGGTGGTGCAGCGCAAGCCACCCGTGGTCCCTCTGTAGGCGCAGGCGTCCTGTGGCTGGCCACAATGACAGGCAACTCCGAAACCGGATGCCGCCAACCATATATACTCGGAGACACAGCACGTACCAATTCGAACTAACGTTAAATGAGACCCATGGTCTGAAGAGTGGAGCGGTACGCATTACGAGCATCAGACCCAAGATCAGTAGCAGCCCTTGCTCACTAACCGCAGAAGAGGGTTGTAAAAGGACAAAGACTGCAAGAAGGAGCAATGGATGCGACATCTTGGGGGGAGGTGATAATCTGTGACAACCTATTCTGGGAGAGAGGATTTGTTCGAAGTGCCATACCTCTCGACTTTAACATAACAGTCCGACCCACAAGGCAGTGAGGAGCGACATCAGCTCTACTGGGATCTACTTGAGATCTGTCGCACGCGGCCATCGAAGATTTGGAACGATTTATCATCATCATCATCATCGTCATCAATACACGTCAGATGCAGGTGAGAAACACCTCAGCTAATGTGCCGTAATACAAGAACATAGATCAACAAAAAAAAAACGAAAAAGATTCCAAGCAAGCAAAATGATGTTAAATATTATACTATGCGTTTTTATGAGAACGGGACTGAACGGGAGGGAATGGACCAAGAAACTCAAAACACAAACGCCATTGGAGCCGGCTCTTCGTCATATCAGCAAGTGTGTCCAGCCAAACGTGTTCACCCTCTTTCGGGCCCCAGCCAGGCAGTCGGGATGCACCAACCGACGCCAGCTTCGAAGTGAGGGTTTTCATTGCTCTCGACCAAGTCATCGCCTGGCCTCCCCTCCTCCTATTCCAACCGCACCCACAACGCGCAAACAATGTACGTCGCCGGAGTCGGTGTGCTTGCATGCGCAACAAGTGACCAAGCCTGGAGTTGAGCGGTTCACTCGCTCTTCCTGCACCAAATACGCGACGCCGAACAAGCTCACTGCTCACGCGGTACTCGCACCAGACGTGAGCTAAGCTGCGAAGACAGTGATGATCGAACGTGATGAGCCTCTTTATATCTGTCGACCTGATGGGCCAGGTTTCACAACCGTATAGGAGGATTGAACGGACGGCTGCAGTATAAACACTGCCCTTCAGGGCGAGAGTGATGTCACGCCAGTGCCACAGGTGGAGATTGGCAAAAGTACCTCGAGATTGGAACGATTCACATGTGTTTCAATCATAGTATACTACGGAACTGCGAGTACGACCAACTGCAGGTGGGGTTTGTAGCAAGTTAATAAAGGACTGCCTGGTCTGAAGCCAGTGGCAGCAAACCACTAAGCACCGGGTGATGCGCTCCCAAAGTCAGAGACAACGCATGCCACTCCGCTCTACGACAATCGAACTGTAAAATAATACCACGCGACCTGTTGTTTCCCATGGTTAAGTTGTGTAAAACGGTTATGGACCTCACTCTATCTTCCGAAGAGGATGTTGGAACTGAAATGGTCTAACAGAGTTATTATCGAGCTGTCTAGTATGAATTGCTTTAAAGGTAGGTGGAAAGTCCTACTCAATGGATGTCAGAGGTACGGAAATCATCGCAACACGTTAGTGTCAAGTCTAGATGAGACGGTGGCGGAGCTCGACGTAAGAGAAAATGTCCTATCAGAATGAACACATAGATACAAGATGAGAGACGAATCTAACACATTAGATGCAGTCGCTTATCTACACAGCTCTGTGCTAAGCTGGTGAGTTGCTTACGGTTTGTCTAAATGAGTTGAAATGTGAACTTCATCGGTCCAAAAACGTCGGTCTATGGAAGTACATGGATAATATATGTCAAGCCGTTCCGTGAGTCAAAAGTGCTGCTATTTATGCTGTTATCCTTGCTAAATAAACACGTCTCTCGTCGGGTGCGAGTCGACCATGTCATGACCTACCATACTCCACATCTAGGTGACTTCCCTATGTGAAGACCAGTGCTTCATTTGCGAACATTCTATGGCACACACGGACGCTGGTACAAGCTTGTGCCTCCAGATCTGGAGGGAGCAGTTCCCCACTCATTGCACTTTGAACGGCGATTTGCCAATGTTCGGAACGCTTTACCGGAGCATATAGTGGAATAAAATTCGATGTAGCAGTTTAAAACATTGTTGGATGTGCATTGCCCCATGGTGAGATTTCGAGGACGAGTACACACTGCCAATGATAGCTCACATTTGTAAGTGCCGAGTCACTGTGAGTCGTAAGCTTTTACGAGATCCCAGGAGAATTGGAGAAACGATTAGATTAGTAACAGGTCATAGGTAGATTTTTAAACGTCTGTGATCATATTTCGATGGAATTGTAGAGATTTAAATTTCTGCTTGTGCACATAATACGGTATTTAGAAGAGACGGCTTTTGAAATGTGTGAAAAGTGAACTCGGTTATGAACCCGTCTTACGCCGTTTTGGTGGGAGCCGCCACAGAGAATCAAGTGCAGTCTCCCAAATCAAAAGTGTGGTACCATGAGACAAAGGTGGAGAACGTGGCTTTATATGCGAATCCCCGATTGATAACTGCAGTGGCAATGTAACAACACGCCGTACGGATGTTGCGCAATCATACAACCGCAAGTGGTTGTACGTGGACAAGAATAATGTCGCGGCACAGGAAGTGATGCAAGGGTGGAAACTCGAACCCGGAGGGATTGGTGGTGCACTGTCTCAAGCATCAGTAGTACGACGGTACGCAGCAGCGACGCTTCGCTGACGCGCAACCAACACCGGTCGCACGTGGGCTAGCGATACTACGAGGGTCACCCGGTACCTTATTCAGGCTCGAACTCGAACGCTCAGATTACGAGGCAGGCTTGTGATTTCTAAGGCTACGGACCGATTCAGACATCTGATCTACCATCTCCGAACCCCAGGTACAAGAGCGTAAGCTCCTGTATAGGTTCGGACACCACAGTAGTACCTCAGCCCGTGTAGTCACTTGCGATTGTATGGTATTGAGGCATCAGGGTACAGCACGGAGGTATTGCTGACGTTTGGATGCTATCGGTTGTGGAACACATACAAATGCTCCGAGCACAGGTGTCTACAATGTGTACTCTGCTTGTCTAAAATTGTCAGCTGTGCCCAGTAGAATGAGTACTAAACCTATATACCCAAAGACAAAAACCAATTGTTCACTGAAATCACAACTGATAAACACCATTCCCAGACATAAATCATGGGGAATAGAGATGGAATTGTCACCTGTGCATGATGCGGTAGTAAGTAAATTAACAAGGGATAAGCAGTTTAAAAGAAGAGGTATCCCGTCTGTGGGGAAATATGCCAATTTTATTTATTTATTTTAAATGGAAATAAAAGACAAAAGTATGGAAACGAGTGAAGTAAACGCTTACCCTTGCTTGTCTTGTGATCAAGTCCCAATCGTCAACGAGCCATGCCTTCAAGCTGGCTGGAAGGTCGACTTTGAGTTGAGGAGCTGTGAGAAAACCTTCGTCCTACAGGAAAAAGTAAAACGAAGATAAAGGGCGGTGAAATGATGCATGGTGAAATAAGTGGGGAAACGAAAGCGCCGAATGAGCTACACCAGCTGCTTCGGAAGGCATGTAGTTGAACACCATATTCTAATTAGGGTAGATGAACAGGCATCGGCAGTACGCCGGTACGTAATACCGACGCCTCGCTGCCGCGCAATCATCACCAGTCGCGCGTAGGTTAAGGATACCTCGAAGGTGTCCCAGTCTCGTACACAGGTTCGAACCCGCGACCTCGGGAGGTTTGTGATCTTTAAGGCCACGGATCGGCAGAGCAGATGAGTAGACCGTACTCGATTAAAGATCGCGTTTCACTACCCCCGGGTGGAGTTAAATAAAGGATTTGCGGTGAAAAGATAAGTTAAACAATACTAGACAGTAACGACGCTTCGCTGCCACGCGACCACCATCAGTCGCGCGAGGTCGCCTGCAACTAGGCGGATTCGAACCAGTGACCTCCGGATTACAAGGCAAGCTTGTGATCCTTTCGGTCACCGGACGAGCACAATATCAGTGGATAGACACCATCGGTTCAGTCCCACTTTCCGTAACGTACCTGTTGAAAAGAAGGGATCGGGGAAAGAAATGACGGAAAATAGGATGAAGTTGAGTCAGTGAACAGCCGTTAGAGTGCTTACAAAAAAGTACATTAAAGAAGTTGGATGGTACGCAGAGTCGTGCGGAAGCGCCATGATCTGTGTAGGCGAAGAAGCAAATGAGATGAGACATGCTCTGCGAGCTTGGTCATCAAATGTGCGCTTGCATGGGTGTGGGAGCGTACGAAGGGATAGCGCGTTGAGAGCATTTCTGTGGTTTGGAAGCTAGATTGTCATAAGAATCAATGTCGACAGGCAGCAAAATCCGACGGTAATGCACTGGTGAATCGACGACAGGATCGTGCGTAAACATATAACTTGGATCACTAGTGAAATGGAGCACGGAAATGATGAAGGGGTTCACGCAGTTGACAGATGTTTATGGTATAAGTGCCCAAATGTTAGAAGCGGTATAGGAGGAAAAACGCCTTGTTATTAAATGAGAAATCATTCACGCGACAAGTCATTTTTACGTTCACTACAAGTATAGCACTAATAATTGGATACTATACACTCGTATCGATTAGCATAGCTGCGCAGACAAATTAAGGGATGGATGGCATCCGGCTTCGCGCCTTAACCGAGTGAGCTGGAAATGGTCTCTGGGTGGCTACAACATTATTCAGTTACATCATACTTATTGGTGACGAGGCACTGTGTCACATCGCTATTGCTGGAAAACAGGACACCATCCACAGAATCCAAACCTACCAGCCTTCCACAATTTATGTACGGCCTGTCAAGGAAATAGACTTAAAACGAAAGGGAAATAAAATTAGGCCAGACAGCAGGTGAAAAACTTGGTGGATGCTTAGGACACTATTTACTATCGAACCGCCACCAAGACGACGCCGTAATATGGAACGCGATAAAGTATATATCTGCAAGAAGCAAGTGGGATGTGGAGAATTTCGGTGTTGCCCTCGCCAATTCCGATGCGTTTTGTCGTCGTTTAGTCCGCCAATATCCGACAAGCAAGTAGGATGCTTGAATATCGAAGCGCCAATTAGAGCAAGAACGACTGGAGGCGCAATGTGATCGGCTGAACATAAAGCAACCGTGATTAGAGCACGTGGTATGAGATGAGAGCAAGGTCATCATCCGTGCATTGTTACTTAATTCTACAGTTTGTCACCGCCTGCGTAATACCGCACAGGTCGCTGAAACATCGTGCTCGATGCAGCGGAATTTCTATGTCAGGGTTTGTTAACATCATTGTGTCCAGTCATGTTCACTCCTGCGGAAAACTGGCGTCCAAGATACTCACTGATGCCACTCACTTTCTTCATAATGCATTGTCAGAACGTATCTCGACTTCTTCGACCAGACAAACGTACAAAGCCATTTATACCCGCATACGGGCTTACGGTACGTCAGTTGGTCTCTATTTGCTATGTTTTCTGAGGGATCAAGATGTAGTCAAACAAGATCTTATTGCCAGACTGAATCGATGATATCGCCACTGCCACATTTTTAAACTGGTGGCGCATCATATACGTTTGTCATATTTTTATTTGTGTCCTTAACGCGTGTGTTGTAGCTGAATATGCACTCTTTATGAGTGCATAAAGCGCACTGTTGACTTGATTTGAAGTGTTGTATAAAGGCAACGGTCAGCACTACTGATCAGTAATGGGAATCGTATGCTGAACTTCCAAGACCTTTCACCACCACCTTACCTTGATCATCATCACGCAAATCTCTTTCAAATAATTCTATTCCCCACCATGCGCCTGTTGAACAACAAACCTGTTCTTCTTCATCTATGCTATTATTCGTACGTTCTGCTTGGCGTAATAAAAACAACATCGTTCAGAATAACCCCAGACGTGATGGCTGATGAGGTACACAAGTCTTACTGAAAGCCGTAAAACAGCTCATGATCACATGAACAGAAGCCTGAAATAGTAACATGAGCCGACAGAAGAGTAACGATTTGAATGCTACACGGAGCCAAACAAGTGAGGATAAATATAACCATCCATCTTGGTGAAGACTGGCCCTATTATCCGTAGCCGTCCAGATCCAACCTGTGTTCCCTACTTTTTATCTTATTTTACCTGCACATCAGTAACCATAAGCGTTTGCGTGTCAGCTGTGCACTTGATTCACCTCAGTAGATGCATGCAATGTAGCCATGAGTTTGAAACTTGCAGCTTGTTCTCTACGATTCCTGACGAATGTGCTCATCTGAGTCGGGAAGATTCTGATCTTCTTAGGCGCGCATCGCTGCCAGTTGTAATTGATGTTATTATTGCGTTATACAACATTTTTAAACTTTGGTTGACAATTCAGAAATTATCCTTCACCGTCCTCTAGGGTGCTTTTTCTTTTACACCCGCCTCATGCGGTGACATGTTAACATTTGCCAAAGAATGTACATTTCGCTCTCAAGGTACCCAGCGCCAAGATCCGTTGCTATATTAGTTTGTTGGTTTTCATTCTGGAGTATTCTTCATATAGAATAAGGTTTTCGGCATGATTCCGCAATTTTAGATGTCCCAACTCAACTATTAGGGAAATTACAAAGGCACTCGCCAAGTTTTAGGTATTCCTTGCAAATTGTTGTCAACAGTTTTGCTAGACATTTATACTTTATTTATTTATACTGGTAAATATTCTATGGCCGGATCTTGCCTACCCTGATACTACCGTTATTGTAGTTCCTCTCTGGGTGTACTATGGACTGAAACCTCTGAACATATTTCAAAGGATTGATGAAGTTGGATTGCGCATCAGCGGTAGACTAAATGACTAACTCCGCCAATAAAGTCCCATTTCTGGCTTCTGGTTAGACTGCGCTGGTTCGGATCGACGAGACATCAGTTAACGGAGAATGCAACCCCAGTACATTCTTCCGCACTTCCTTCTGAACAATGTGCATGTGCGAAACTGTAGAGTTACAGTATACATATTTCGTTCCCATATGTTGAGGTGCTTTATGAAGAAAATCTGTATACATTTTGATCTTTCTCTAAGTGGGAAAAGTCACTCGCACTGTAGAGAAATAGATGATTCATTTAGTTGAATTCGCTGTAAAAGACAGAGTGCGTCTGCGGGGGACCACTGCATCAAAAAGATGCGCAAATATCCATCCACGTGATTACAGCAAGTATGAGTCGAGCACCACAGTGTTGTTGATTCAGTTGCCACGACTCACACGCAGTCACGATAACAACAAATGAGGTAGAGCGCGAACAGAAGATAGGGAAATCGATTGGTGTTGTTCAGCTTCAGTAAAATTTTACACTGCATATGACTGGTGATGGTGCGTTTTAACCAGCACAATCCAGGCGACAACTGCAACCCGAAAGTTGAAGTGGGAACCCTCGAGTTAGATTGGGTGCAAGAAGTATACCAATAGCCGAATTCTCGAAGTGTGGAGTCAGAAACATCAGCCGTAGACACGGCAATACTTGGGGTTCTAAGTGAAGATTTAGCAGTGCGCAGTTAAGATAAAAGACAATACATGAATAAACATATTACGTTCGAATGAAATCAGCTACACGACTCACAAGACTACAAGTGGAACACGGTCCGTTCACAGCAATTTCTAAGTGAGCGGATAGAAGTATGAGACCGAGTTAGATAAAGTGTCATCAAACGCATTATTCTAAAGCGAAGTTGCTAACCTACTCATTGCTAGATCAACAAGCTAGTAGACACTTACAAATAGGCAAGCAAGTAAAAGAAACTGGTCGTATAAACAGTAAAGGATCAGATGTTCTTGATAACACCAAAACCGACAGGACCCACATTCTCAATAGATGCATCCGAAGTACCAGTGCGTCCTTTCCTTCGTCTACCAGATGCTGGTGTAACAGAACTAGGTGTATCCTCATGCACTGAGACAGCGGGTTTAACAGGTTCGGATGCCTTTGGTGGCACTGTGGTAGCCGGCTCGGGTGCAGCTACTGGAGCCACTGTTGCCACAGTCGGGGGCACGGTGCTCTTGGATTCTTCTGTGACAGGGGTGTCGACAGAGCGCTTAGGCTTCGTCTTTGGAGGGCTCACAGACTCCACTACAATAGATTAAATGGCGGAATAACAGAGGTCGCACCTTTCGGTTTCTCCTCTATAGGACGCAGAGTTTGTTCGATTTCATCCATTATCTCCGGTGGTGGATAAGACTGTTTTTGGAGATCTGACTTGCGCAAGATTTTCACTTTCTTCCCAGACTTGCTGCAGAGCACAACAAATAAATGCAAAAATCAACCGCAAACGTACATTTGATGTTCCAATTCCTTTTGTTTCCGCAAACCCTCTTCATTGTACTTGAATATACGTTTGTCCGTAACCCACTCATCCCAACTGGTGTGCCATTTGAAAGTACATAAACAAACAAAGAGACTTACTTCTTGTTCCAACCTTGGTAGTGAACAAAATACATAACAGCACCATCCTTGACCTTAACGTCAAGACACTAATGCGATGGGGAACGCAGATGAACAGAGGAGATGGGCTTACCTTGGCCTCGTACAAAAGAGGACCGTGAAAACACAGAAGCTTCTCACCTAAACATGTCGAAACTGATGCGTTTCATAACGCGCCACTTACCAGCTTCGTACTTCGGGATGAGATGAGGATCAGTAGTTGACATGGGCACAGCACGTGTGTAGAACGCCAATCGAGGATTAAGTATTCCTCTTGGGTGTCGGTAACATAGAAATGGTGTCCCGAATAGATAAATAAACAAGTCCCAAATTAGAGTTGACTGTTGATACAGCTGGGAAGCCGATGGGACGAGCAAGAAAGCTATAAACGGTTAAATAGACAGGGGCTTCAGCGTAAGGAAACAGAATGTTAAGTGTGACTAGGAAATGGTAAGAGAATCACAGGAGGGATGGAACAGGTTTAAACATAGTCACTTCCCTCCGAAATAGAAGAGACCATTCCCAAGCAAGGTATCACAGTAAAACTGAAAAGTCAAGTAAAATATAATGATAGAGTAGCAATTAAACTAATTGTTGTAAAGCTATACGTGTAGGTGTTATACCGCTCATATTCGAAACGACCGAATGACCGCTTTGTCACTGTTCCTCAGGTACAGAGCAGTCGAAGGGAACTCCGAGCGAGTATGGTTCTGGGATCCGAGTCACTGAGTTAATGGCGAAGAAGATCACTGCTCAACAGAGTAGACCTCACTCGCGCGCCAAGAATATGAACCCCACGAGTGTACTAACCTTCAGCGAGTGCTTACACTGGGCTAGTGGAAGGTAAAGCTGTATACACGCGTATTTATAACAAGGCTGATCTATCCCATTGTATATAAGTATGGATAGATAAGGGTATGCAATAAAAACCTGCATTGTGGATGCCCTTTGAGAAGACATGTGGCGCTTTATATATTTATATATTTGCAAAAGTCTGTTAACAGACCTAATGCCATCAGAAACCATGGGATTCAAACGAAAGTACAGAAACAGTAAAATAAAACACAACACAACAATGTCCATGGTTCCCTCAGCGGGCGAGATACTACCCGGTTGCCCAAGCCGAAGTAGGGTGTTGACTTAGGGGACACCACCCCGAGCCTTTGGCTGAATAGCCTGCCCGCAAGGCAGCGGAGCGAATTCAGGGAATCGCGCCCATTGGGAGCCGGTGACTGATTGCTCAGTTCATACGCCTTTTGTTTGTTCCTTTGTCAAACAGGGGCCCAATGCTCCCCAGGAGTACAGCATAAGGTTGCTGGAATACAATGCTTCGCCAGAATGAAGCAAGGGGCAGTGACTTTATTTAGTGGCGAGTCACATCCGCCACGTCACAGTGTTGTTAAACGGACATATGTGGCTTTTTATAGGGAGAACGCTTGCCAGGCGAAAACCCACCACGTCCTGGAACACTGCCGCCGAACCATTTGCTGGAACGGGAAAATCCCGAACCACCCAGCTGGCACCACGAGGAGGTTGTTCGGCAAGCCAGCCAATAATAATGTGTCAGCTGTACGCTGTAACGGCGCTTCGCTGTCGCGCGACCACCACCAGTCGCGCGCGGGCTGAGTATACCGTGAGGACGCCCACCCCTACGCGGATTCGAACCGGTGACCTTATGGTTGCAAAGCAAACGTGCAGACCACTCGGCCACCGGCCGACTAAAATGTGTCAGCTTATACGCCGTAACGGCGCTTCGCTGCCGCGCGACCACTACCAGTCACGCGCGGGCTGAGTATACCGCGAGGACGCCCACCCCTACGCGGATTCGAACCGGTGACCTTATGGTTGGAAAGCAAACGTGCCAACCACTCGGCCACCGGCCGACGCATCACTGTCTGGAGAAGATACTTCTTCAACAAGAACAATGTGAAATATACACTGTGAATAATATTAATGCCGACACCTACCATGATAGACTGATGAAAAGCAGACTGTCACATGGAACCAGAGTCTCCCCCTGATCCCATTCTGGTACCTTACCAGTAGAGTTCGAAGTATTTACACAAGAAAAACGGTGGTCTAGTGGAAGTCGTATTCGGAGTTTGCTACCCAGGATCAATGACAGAAGCCTAATCCCATAGAACTTGAAAAGTGAAACGTATATAATAATAATAATTCCCAATTTGTGCGATAGCAGCAGACAACAAGTCTCCCTGGGAAGTAACCGTGATGGATATTGGCATACAGCAAAGAGTATAGGCGCGTTCATAAACAACACACAAAAGTCGTGTAACAGAGAGATAGATCAAGTACCGACAGACATGCAGCCACCTAAGGAGCAATCCTTGTGTGTCAACGTCCACGAGACGATCATTTTTGAATACAAACAGCAAGTATTACAGCAATAACGGACAGAAGGAACAGTGCTCAGCGAATCGATTAACTATGAAACTGGCAAGCTCGTTGAAAATTTGTCTGTAATGGTTGAAAAATCCTGGAAACTAGATGAGTTTGTGCACTCACACGTCAGTGTGTACTGGACAGTGGGGGTTTTGGCAATGTACGGTAGTCGTCTCAGCACGTGAATGTGCGAGTCAAAGGGATAATCTTAAGAATCATCCAACGGGTCATGAGTACGCATATCTTCTTACGAGTAGAAGGATTTTGGCGAATATTTTTGTTCGTCGCAGTCAGCCGACAATTCAGATAAGTCAACCCTATTGGGGCTCGTCAGTGGTGCGCATCCTTCGGTCCTCTACGGAGGATCGAACCCATGACTGCTAGTGGGTTGTGCCAACTAGCCCGCAGCTTATGCAACTGAGCCATGCATAAGCTGCGGGCTAGTTGGCACAACCCACTAGCAGTCATGGGTTCGATCCTCCGTAGAGGACCGAAGGATGCGCACCACTGACGAGCCCCAATAGGGCGAAACCGGCCGTCTGATGCTTTTCCGAATAGGTAGTTGACTTATCTGAATTGTCGGCTGACTGCGACGAACAGAAATACGCATATCTGCCAAATGCGTTGCACTATGCACGATGAAAGTCCGTTCATCCGACCGGTAGAGCTCGTAGTATTTTCTTGCAAACACGTTCGGCTCGCGCCACGCATAACGGATACGTTCCAGCTGTATACAATAAAAATTGCTGGGATTCCGTAACCTTCCAATATCGAATTGTTTGCACGCTCCTGCAGCGCCTATGCAACTCACGAGGCTGAGTGCCCGCTGTACATAAGTAGTCGATCCAAAGTTGAAATCTTCTCCGTATTCCGCCGGCACCGTTTGCTCACACAGGCATGCATCCATAGCATCATCATATGCCTCAGAAGACCAAGGCAAACAGCGTACATTTCGGACATCGGGCATGTGTTTGGCGAAGTCCGAGAGTTTCCAACCAGATGTGCGTGTAATTGCGGCACAGTAGCTGAGGTGTTTCCCACCTCTAGCTAACGTGTATAATGCATAACGCATGTGCTTGTAATTCTTGTGTCCCAAACCCAGAAACTGACAGCGTCCAACCACATCAACGTGGAGACCGGTACTATCGCATATTCTACACAAGCCATGTATTGGCAACCTTGCTTTCACTTCCAGCCAACTTCAACGCGGAGGGAAAGCATGATGAAGCAATCGCTGAGTGAGCATGCAAAGCACGTGTCCTGGTCATTAAAGACTGCACAGTGAAAGTGGTTCAGTAGAAAACAGTCAAACGTAAGTACCCCAAAATGAAGCTGTGATGTCGCAATCGTGCAGTAGCAATGCCCAGGTGGCAGTTCACTCACAGATGTTGGACAGATAACGATCATCGAAAAAACGAGGAAAGCTCATCCGGACCAGGGGGTTGCGGAGCACATAAGAGAGAGCAGACTTCACAACCAAAGCCATGGATGTCATGTGAATTCACTTGTCATTTTGCATATACTCCATCATAACCAACTCTCTTACCTTTCAGCTGATGCATTTTCATTGTTAGGCCGGTAGGGCGCACATTTCTGGCTACTAGTTATTCCGTCTGATTTGTCACCTCCGTTAAACGCATCAACTTACTAGTCTAACAATTCCATGGACCGCAATCGTCGTCGTAATAAATGCGACACTGATTTGAATGCTCCAGATACCTCCAACCAGTGGACCTATCAGCTTCAAACATTCGACACCGTTTTAAACCGAGTTCAATCTTGGTGACTTGGACAATCTGAACATGCTCGTCAAACTGCTATTCCCTCCAATGTATCAGCACGTCATTTTGGCCCAAAATGTGGTTTTTGCTCGATATTTTTAACTACATGCAAGCAGGAATGTGGGCAAAATATTGACTGGTTCGTGCAGAGCGTCAGACTTCTAGCGAAGGACTGCAGTTTCCGTTGTCTCAGTAGACAACTATTGCGACGATGTTGTACGTAATGCCCCTATAACAGACTTGTAGTCAAACAGCATTCGAACGAGGTTCCTGAGACCACCTATAACATTGCAAGCTTGTTGGATGTTGCTGTGGAAGAATCATAGCTTTATGGCACTGAAAACATTCTCTGAGCCTCAACGAATTCTGTCCCATCTACTCATCGTCATCCAATTATTAACGCAACTGAGAATGAACTGATTGTGTCAGTGGTGTAGTCACAACAACGTGGTATTATCGTGGATATATTAAACAACCCCGCGAAAGATGCCATTTGCAAACACTGTGGGAAGAAGGAGCATCACAAACGTGTGTGCAAATGCAAATCCGCTACATCATCAATCACCTCAGCACTACACCCATTTTTGTCTTCTGTGTTGACGGCTGCAGCTCCAAACTGACTGTCGCGTACAACAACCAGAAATTATGTAAACAGCACTGACCTACATGCCTTAATTGATACTTGCAGTTCTGATAGCTATGTGTCACCGTTTGTCGTTTAATCCCATCACAGAAAAATCTATCCTTGTGACCCCAAAATCACTGCGGCTTCCGCCTTTCTATCGTGCGCTGGTGTTGGATATTGAAATGTTTGAATCCACTGGCAAAAAGTTGAATGCAATGGCGTTCGGCTTTCCGTTTTCTGTAACCCATGCGCTAATGCGTCACTCGGCCATGGTTTCCTTGGCTTGCACAACAAAGTAGAAATATCATCCGGTGATGGAAATGGCATTTTCTCGCTGTGTGGACTGACTACAGTCAATATGGGATCACCTCCACTATTTGCTAACCTGTCCTTTGAGTGCAAACAGTTCGTTACAAAGTCT